GTCTGCGCTCTCAAACCGCTATCAGATATAGCGGCTCATTCTACAAGTTTCGTCCTGGTGTAGAACCTTAGCGTGTATTAGCTTAGTAACCAGTTAACAGTTGAGCTCCTGATCCTCAGTCGTTAGGTCCCTTAACAGTAAGTGTCCTTTTGTTTACTACTGACGTCCGATGGATGACAAGATAAAAACTTCAGAGACTGTTATTCCAAATAACAGAGTCTCTGCCCAACTCTGTGTGATCACTTTCTCGCAATAGCTCCTTTACTAATCTTCTGAGGTTCCTATACCTTGCATCACCAAACTTGTCCCTGACTCAATTAATAAACTGCACTAGCAGCCGTCTTGTAATTGGTCTGTATACGTCTGTGCCTCGATAGTTAATATTCGAAAGAATACCACCTATTCTTTGAATAAGGAAACATATCTGCTCCTGCTGCGTTGTATTCAAAAGTGAATATCCCACCTTATGCTGGAGCCCTTGCAGATTGCAGTGGATGTGATTCAAGTGTTGCTTGTTGATGAAGGCAGAAGAATCTTCTCTTCTTCTCCTTTGTCAGTGTGCCTGTTGAACTCCTTCTGCCCTAGCGTAGGGTTGAGGGACATATTTGACTGTTTGTTCAGGTCCCGCATGGAACCCATCAATGTCCTGCTGGATGCTGTCTGTGATGGGTGTAGGGGGGCGTGTATGAGAATAGGGGTGAAAGTACCACTGTTCTCCTGGTGTGTCCCTAAGAGTCGTCCTCCTGCTTTGAAGCCAAGGAGGGAAGGGTCTTGAGGGGGCCGCGCGCTCTCGTCAATCTCCTTCTGAGATTGATGAAGAGTCGCTTACACTACTCTCGAAACTGATTACTGTGGGGGAGGCTATTGGATCCTCCAATATCTCTCCTGTCGCTGTCACGTACTCGAGAGTGTTAAGGGACCTGACGACTAAGGATCAGGAGTTCAACTGTTAACTGGAACTTAGGACTTATACACGCTATAGTCCTACACTGAACTAGAGTTGCAAACTGAGCTGCTATATCTGATAGTGGTTTGAGAGAGTATACTGGTTGAAGCAAAGCTTCAGACTAGGACTGAAATAGACAACTGAGTCTATTACTGGAGACA